TGAGTATGGTCACATACAAGAAAAAAAATTACCACTTTGCATATCTGTACTTTGTGAACTAAGCATAAAATCTGGTGGCATCCCAATGTCCTTCAACAACTTTGCAAGACAGGCAAGTTGCACAAAGTTCAACTACAAAGCTCATAGCTATACAGAAGCATATATTTCTAGCCAAGCTACAGAACATAAATTTCATAGATCCTGAAATTATTTCAATTTGTCAACATCAACCTATTCTTTGCCCATCAGAGATGAGTTATTTTAACAGCACTTTTTCAAAACACCTGAGCCAGCAGATGCTGTAGGCTATACAGAAACAACTGGAGAAATGCAGCCTTCAGATGATGGAAAGTCCAGAAATCCTTGGTTGATGACAATACCCAATGTATTCCTCATAAACTGAATAATGAAACAAGGTCAGCTGGACACTCCCATAGCTAAAAATATACCCAGGGTCCCAAAGCAGGGTGAGGATGGCTTGGAGCCAATTTCCATGGGGCAAGAACGGGGCAGATCTCACTCCCTCAGCTGGCCAGTACAAACTGTGGCTGCCCTACAAGCACACACTCTATAAACCATTAGAAGTTCTGTATGCCCTTTTCTCACCCCCTGGAGGACACAGCATCACTACAGAAGCACAAGGAGGAGCTCTCAGCAGCCTTTACAATGACCCTGCATTAGGTCTGTAACATCCTTTCTGCTCCCCTAGCAAAACAATCAGGTAATGCAATCTAAATCACAGGAAAAGCTGGAACACGAGACACCAGCTTGAGAGGGCAACATTTTAAAAAACATGCTTTATTGCAATTGATGAACCATGTGGGGTTCTGTCTTTACAGAGGAAGGGTCATCCTTTTTATGGAGAAAGCAGGGAGTCTGTCTAAAACCAGGATTAGAGCCCAGCTCCCTGCAGTATTATTTTAACAATTTAATAACGGCACCAAGGAAGCAAACAAAAATCCCCTATTAACTTAACCAGGAATAAAGCTGGATCTTCTTGTAAAGTAGAGTCAGCATTGCTAACATATGACTTATGCAATACAGCCTCACTCTTTTCTCCTTTTTGAAGAGTTACATAAGGTATAATTTAGCTATCATATTACACTATTTAAAATAAGCAAGACCTCAGTTTTGTAGTTATAGACTGCACTGCTCAGCTGAGGTTTGTTTATTCTATAAACCGTTTGCTAGAAAAGCATATTTTCATTTAATTCATGCTAACATCCTTAAAACCAAAGGTCAAAAACAAGGAAACAACAGCTTAACTATAGCTAAGTAGGTCTTGGATGGAACCCAGAACTGACAAGAACCAAAATCCTCACAAGAGTAACAAACTTCAGCTTTGGCATTTTATTTGATTAAATCAGTTTACTTAGAAAGTTTTTTTAAAAACTGAACCTGATTTTGAATACAACCTGAATCAAACAAAGTGTTTGATCAGATTTTCAGCTAATGTATTTTTAAGCTGTAAAAACATTTGTTTGCATATGAATGAATATTTGTACTGCAGATGTTCCACACCTGTTTGCATTTTGCAGAAGTTCAGTCACTTTTACATGTTTTATCTCAATCACAGCACAGAGAAAACTCAGATCTAGAACTCCATCTCTCATTTAGGGCAATTATGATTGAAGTCCACATAATGTGGTTTTCTTTTTCTTCACTCAAAGCAAGCACTTTTTTCTTTTTCAATTTTGGTACAGGTCTTCAAAGTAGAATAGCTTGTCATATATTTTAAATTCTCCTGTCCTGAATTAGAATCAGTGACAGTGAGATTTACTGCATAAAACAGAACTCGACTTCTGTACAAGCATTAAGGGAAATTACAGCTTTCTTTCACTGCATAATTAAGGACGTGTTTACACTTAAAATCAACATTACTTTTCATCCTTTGGATGACAAGTCAATTACCTCTTGTCCCCTTTCACCTCTCATTTCCCTCACCAGCAGCTCTTTGAAACTTTTAATACAATATTTTTCTAATATTTCACTTGTAAATTTCAAGTTCAGGTTGCAATCTCAGTACAAGCAACAGCTCTGCCTGAGTACTCCAATACATTTTTTCTTCCTTCCCACAGTCACATAGTCCCTATATTACCAAATGTAATGGATGTTTGATGGTTACCTTGAAGGAATACATAACCAAAAATGTAGCTTAAAAATCCAAACAAACCAAAGCAAAAGTTTAGAAACATGATAACAAGAACTGTCCTTTTCCTCATAACAAAAAAACCAAATAATAGAAACACAGTCAATGTAGCATATTGACCATAACAGGCAGGATTAATATTGTCCAGGGTGGTGCCAAGAATCACTTGCAACAAGCCGTTTTTGCATCCTGGCAGAACCACCCTTCAAGAAAAAAAGCCATGCCTATAATCAGCAACTTCCCAGAGATGACTTGTGGTGGTAGCTATCCAGATTACCTCTCCATGGACCCAATCCAAAACTTATTACTGGCAATAGGCTTTTGAAGCAGCCCTGTTACATTTTTTTCCACAATGGAAAAACTCTGTATTTAATTGATAGACTGGAAAGAATCTTCAACTCTTTGAAGTATGGGATTAACAAGAGAAAAGGACATAATGTTTGCCTTTAGCTTGGCAAGCAATACCTCAGAGGGAAAAAAACCTCTGTGATCTAGAAATGATGCAATTTATACAGTACTCAATACGGTGCAGGTACATCAGAAGATGCCTTAACAAGTAAAGGTCCAGAGACAGCAAGACTACCAGTTGCTCCCTTTTAGCAACACAATTTAGTTAGACTTTACCAACCAATCTTTTAAGGAGAAGCATAAATGAAGTTCAAAGAATGAAACATTTTCATTAAAACAATTTATTCTGAGTTTATTTTAGCACCATGGTTGCAATTGTCTTCAGACAGCATTAACAGAATAATTTAATTTAAAATATTCAAAATCCTATAATTTCATTATTTTATTGTTTTAGGACTACATAATCTATTCAAAATAAATGCTGTTTTTCTTCTTCAGGAAAGCGACCGTATTTGAAGGAACTAGGACTTTCAGTAGCATTTCAGGCCACTGGACAGTGGTGGAGTAAGCAGCTGATCTACATAAAAGATGTTTTGCTTATTTAGTTTTCAATAAGGTCAAGTCACTGAATTAGTTTGCAGTTTAAACAAATCATGTCAGTACAAAAGCCAGAAAAAATGTACAACAAAGTTGGGAGTATTGGAGTCTTATACTGATGAAACTGAAGATGGAATTTCATTATTCAATGCACAAGTAAGTAATATTAAATATAGAGAAGTATTTTCAATTGACACAAAATAATGACTCCAAACCCAAAGCATGCCTACATAAAAATAATATACAAACCCACATCTCAGAAATTCAGGAAGTTATCTCCTTCAGGAGGTTATCTTTCCTAGACAGCAGTCTACAATCAGTATTGTGATGCAGTGAAGGAAACAACTGTGTTCCATCATCCCCAGAAATCTCTCTCTGCCAAGGGAACCATGTGTATTTTAGGAAATGCTACCCCCTATCGTCTGACTAGTCTGAACATCTAACAGCTCAAAACAATCATTTTCAGGGGTTAATTCTGCTTTTCTTGGAAATTACTAAACAAATCATAAGTCTTTTTACTCATCAACTTAGTCCTTCACTACAGCACTGTGACCCTGCCTTTCCCTCTTACTGCTTCTTCCAATAGGAAAGCAAGCCAGTCCCTGAAAAGTAATTCTTACTTCAAAAACTGACTTTTTAAAGTTATGCATAAAAGTTTGAATTCCTTTTTTGTCCATTTTGTGTAAGTACTATTTCAAATCCTTACACATTCTCTTACCTGTTTTCTTTCCACTCCCACCCCTTTCCAAACCCTGAAACTTAAACTCTTCTAAAAGCCCTTATTTCAAAGATTTTATATTTAAATGTCTTTTCTAAGAAGCTGAAGCAGCAGGATCTGAAAACATAAGAATGCTATTGCAAAAGAAACTAGACAGTGATCTTTGAGCACACAAAAGATGCCCCTTCCTCATAAAAAAAGAAAAAGTGAAAAGAGGGAAACAACATTCTTTCTTCCTGCTTAAGAAAAGCTGCAGGACTCACTTTAAGAGTATTTAGGACCATACCAGCAGAATATTAGATTTAAAAGGAAAATTATTTTTTCAGCTTATTCTACGTTTAAATTGAGTTCTAGTTGGCTTACAGCATATAGAATGAAAGAAACACAAGGAAGAAGAGAAAGATTGCCACGAGAAAGCACGAAGTATAATACAGTCTGGGGAGCAAGTGGTAGGGAACACCAAGTGGAAAACATTAAGGTATAAGACATTTGTACCCTAATTTACTTTAGAGTTGGAATTGATGCTGAAACCTGATTTTCTTTGAAAAGAAACTGAATTCCTCTACAATCTTTTTGTCTTCTAACCTCTGTTTCTAGCTCTTTTGGGTAGAAAACGAGAATTGAGTAGATCTTAGAAAAAAAGTACCAACCATTTAAGGATGATTTTGATTAAATACAATACTGATGTGTCACTTTGAGGATGTCCACAATGCAACTTTCATGTATCACTACCTATAAACAAACAGTGTGACAAGCCTTTTTTAATCACTGCTTAAGGGTGGAAGTATTGCAGTATTGCTACTATTTAAGTTTCCCTCCAGCCACCAGTACAGCTGAAGCATATCATAAGGCCCTTCTGACTTTGGTCTGAACACAAGACATTGATGATGTGATGTAATGACATCATTTGTTTACTGTCACCATAATGTAAAGTATGAAATACAGGCTGTCAGAAATACAATCAACATAATATTCCATCCTTGCCCCCCAGACGATTTCCAAGGCAGAGAGAGTAAACAGCCTTCTCCCAGCTTTCTTAGTTTCCACAGCTGAGAGTGTAGGATGTTTACAATACCTGTCACTCAGAGCTTCCAAGAACACACCAAATGCCAGAAGACCTATTACTGACTTCATCACTGACTGCTGGAAACATGCAGATGTCAATTAATGGGAGGAAAAAATCCATACCCACAACCATATGAATCCAAATCAGTGTTAAGTCCTTTGTGAACAAGTTGGAGGGTCTAAGAAAGAAGTTCAAAATAAGGCTGAGCTTCAGCATCTCCAGAGGACAGCCAGTATTATTGCCACCATGGTACTGCAAGGCTTACTGCCAGTTCACTCCAAAGTATTCTTGCATGTCCTGAAGTTGTGCCTGCAGAAAACAAGACAATTCACCATTTTAATGGGTGCACATAGCAGAAAAATAGTCTTTGCATTCTACAAGTAAGAGCCATCATGTAATTTCCTAAGGATTGGAAGCTTTTAACACAATTTAAAAGTGATATTTAGAGTGCTGGCTCACAGAATACCTACACTATCTAGGTTATTTTTAATTAACAGAGGAATGAATGATGGTTCAGGGACACTTTTGAATGCTGTGAGGAAAATAATACTTTTAAATACCTTTAGAATAGTAGCTTGGTAAATTGAAGAATTTGGTTAAATAATAACATGTGACCGTTAACAGCAGTCTAGGTACATTTGACATTGTACTTTTCACTCAGAAGCATTTAAAGTATTCAGTTTCCTTGAAGGCATCACCTCTAATAGGAAAATCAACCAAACAAAATAAAATTTAAAAAATCCATTCAGAAAAAAGAAAAAATTTTCTCATGTAGAACAAAAGTCAAAATCCTTAGATGAGAAAAAGATTCCATTTAAACAGGTTTAAGTACAACATCAAAAATTTTGGGAGAAGTTTATTAATAGCTTTTGCTTTAAAAAACAAAGCATGTGCAAAAAAAAATATTCAAGTGATTAGGGACCTGAATTCTGTTACAGAAGCACAACAATGTACTTTACAAAAAGTGAATCTGCTATTGAGAAGGTAGAGGAGCTTTATCTGAGTGCACAACCCATAGAAGGGTTGCCCCAATACTAGTACAGTACTCATCATCATATGAATATCATTTATAGCACAGTATACTGGCCAGCTTTCTGAGGAAACAGCTGCTCTGTGGGCATGAAGTATGTTTCATTTGGACCAAAGGAACTATATTGTTTTCTCCTCAACCATTATCTACATATCATTCCAGTACTTCTAAAAATCAGGATAGATATATAGAAGTCAGTGCCTGGAGGGAATCAATTTGGTCAGGAAACACAGCAGCAGTAAGAGGGGAAAGAAGGGGACTGTGTAATTGTCCATTGCTTGACTATTTGTAAAGAGGCCTAGAGATGTGCAGGAGCTCAAAAGTTGAAATAGATCTGAAGGCACAGATCATCTTTACCTTCTAGTCTGCTATAAAAAAATACAGACTGCAAGGGCAAAGGCAGCACAAGTTGTAAGAATTAAAAGTTTTATTTCTTGAGCTGTGTGTCCTCAATAAATCATCTCTCTGGTCAGCAGTTAAACAACCTATGCTAGTTCTGCACTAAGAAGATGCAATTTTCCTAACTTCACCAATTTTACATGTCAGTGGGGTCCATGGGGTCTCTCTAGGGCATACAATAGAAGAGGAAAATCCCTGTCTTCAATCAAGCAGCCACACCAATCAGATTGTCAGGTAGCCCTGCAAGAAACAGCCTGGCATTGGCTCAACAATGAACCCAGCAGTAGAAACAAAAGCATAAAGTGCAGAAATAAAATCATGGAGCTGTTTTCTCAGAACAAGGAAAATTAGAAGGTCACAGAATAATCCAGGTGTACACACATCGCAGTAGATAATCTAGTTCCAGGTCTTCCTGGAGGCAGAGCCAGTTTTGGAATCCCACATGAAGGGCTGCAAAACACCTTACATTTCTCATTCAAGGTTTTGCAGATTAAGTATGATTTGCAGAAGGCACTTCAGCTCTTTACAAAAGAAAGCTGAAAAATAATATTGTGGTAATCTCTGATGGAATTTTCCACAGTACACTCAATCTTTAGTTGACACGTTCTGATATTTCTTTTGCTAACATATCCTCTTTTGATCCTGTAAGGGCTATGATGATTTCTATGGAACAAAAAAAATTACCCCTTTCCTAATAAACTAGTATGTCTCCAATACAAAAAAACCCACACAACTATGTAAATTCAGAAAAAAATTGATATTTTATTTGCTATAAAGTAAGCAGAAGGAAAAAAACACCCAAACTATTTATAGCAGAAAAAAAAAAATCCGTTTTCAAAATAAGCCTATGAATTACTGGAGCTGTAGGCCTCATACCTAAGAAATTGTGAGAGCCAGTGCTATAACAGGCAACATACTACCAGCTCACAAAAAAGAAAACTTTTCAAGGCAAATGATGCAGTGATAAGGAAATACTCAAAACATGTGAAGCAAAAAGAATCTGGAGTTTCAGAACAAGAAAAATCAGAATAAAAACTAAGTAACATATTATGGTCTCATGGAATCCCAAATACTTTTGTGACTTATTATATATTCTTCAGCCTTGGCATTTAAATGAACAAGACTTAGAACAAGAAAGTGACTTAGGACTTTAAAAGTCAGTTTTGCATATATATTTCAGATGTTCCGCTGAAAGGTGCACCAGATAACTTCAAACAATTTAAGGAAATCTTCTGGCAAGAACTTCATTTATACTCGACACAGTAATTCCTATTTTAAAGGGCCTACAGTTAAAACAAATGACAGAAGAATATGACAGCAATTAAATGAAGACTTTAAACATAGGTCCACTGTATTCCTACTGCTTTTCTATTGACTGCCTTTGATTTCCAAATTGTTACAGATGGCTCCCTTTTTTCTAATATTTATATAGCCAAAGATGCATCTAAGGTGATGTACTTGGGGAGCATAAGAAGCTACATATATCATACCTTCCTGTCAAGAGATGCCTACCACTTACTGGGCACAGTTCCTCATCTGTGTCTAGGTACCCAGATACAGCAACCCGCCTGCCACAGCTTCCCCTGCAAAGCATGTCCTTCTGTAGGTGTCTAAGAAATACAGCTGCTGATCTGCCAGCAAGCCTTGCACAAAGCTAGGCTAAAATCCTTCCCCTGAAGGATCCAAGGGAAGGCACTACCTGCACCAATAGCCACACAAGTGATCATGATCTCAGCAAAGCTATCTCAAAAGGAAGGATTAAATATTGCAAAAAAAGCTTTCTCCCCCAGATCTCCAAGAGGCAAGGTGTTAGTGAAAGAGTTATTTACCTGATCCTAAAACCTGCTCTCCATCCCTTGGCTTCACTCTCCTACACCTGAGGGACACGATTGTAAAATGTAGTACAGACAGTTACTTTAGAAGCAGATGCTGAAAGAATGCAGTACAACAACAACTCAAAACTAAAGCACTGCCCTGCCATCACCTGGAAAGAAAAGACTGAGTTGCCCAGTAAATGCTACACTATAAAGAAACTGTTGTCATTAATTTGCTTTCATTTTACAACTAAGCACAAAAGGGAAGGAGTGAAAAGAAAACATTCTCTTCCCTTTGTAGCAAGTTAAATGTTTAATTTCTGGTAACAACAGTAAGTTGGGTGCCAATATGCACAAATTACTCACTGCTCACTTTAAAGAATACTTGTTATAGCCAGAACCACTCAATTACACCACCCAACAGCAGAGGACCATAAAATTAATAGAAATTATTTCTGTCTGCAAACAGGGAGAAAATGATATATAGTGTAAGGTTTAACTTCCTTACAGGCTTGTAAGATGAGCTGACCTTATGCCACCTTCTGTGTACTTGTGGACCTCTAAAAAAGCTAATCATTCTTCTCTGCATGAAGCACACCATTAAAATGGGGTCAAATATCACTGAACATTATAAATATTATGCCATTAGCAAAACTAATGACACACTATTTATGTAGGAAGGCCTCTTACATTGGCTTTTACAAAAATTCAAAACTGTTTCAAACCTTCCTCAAAATTCATAATGTACATGGGGAAGGCTAACCTGCCTATATAGAGGCTTACCTGACCCACCTGCAGTGATCCACTTGAGGGGCTAAATATTTGTGCTGAATGCCCCTACTGAATACAGACAACTTAAAAAGGAGCAGGTTCAGGGAAGATTGGAAGCTATTTAAAACTCTTCCTTCTTTGCATGGTGTAATTCTGGAGACTGTGTAGTCTTTGTATTTGGAGATATTCCCAACTTACCTCCTTCATTGATCAGCCACCCCTCAAGAAACAGCTAGTATACAGTGTAATAGCTGTGTCAGTTTGAAATAAGAATTTATATTTGGACTTGGGAAGGAGCAGTCACAGTGTCAGGCATCCTTAGAGCTTAGCTAGAGTCTGCTGGAATTCCCTTCCTATGTCTCCATCTCTGTGTGGTAACCACAAAACTACATAAACCTCTAACTACTGATGTTCTCCTACATGGGGAACAATTTCTGTCAAAATTGCCAAGGTTTCTTTCTCACCTGCCTGTTCCTGGAAGGCCACACAGTTTAAGTGAGTACCTTTTAATCCTGGTAACAATAATTTGCTAACAGCTTTCTCAAAAAAACAAAACAAAAAAAACCCGAAAAAACCCACCAAAAAAAAAAAACCAAAACAAAACAAAAACAAACAAACAAAAAACCTTGGCATGTTTCTAAGATTACTTCAAGTCCATCACAGTGAATTTGGGTTTTTTACCCATCTTAAACATGTTACACTTCAGAAACTCAGAAACATGTATTTATATATATATATAGGTATGTAAAGAGGAGCCCTGGAGACTCTGTCTGATAGGGAGGACCTAAAAATGGAGGTAGGTCTCAAGGCTCTCCTTCAGCTCTCCTTTCAGCTTCAAAGAAAGAAAACTATTCCATTCATTTTCTTCCTGAGCCCTGCAACTATTTGAAGGGAAAGGAAAAAAAAAGTTTCCTTCTCCATATAACTGCTATAAGATTCACAAAAACAATCTGAAAACAAAGTCAATACATTTTTAAAGCAGGTGAAAGAAAGATTAGTTTCAACAATTTTAAACTTTTTGCCTCTGAGAGTCAGAAGCAAAACAGTGGGAAAAGAACAGCCACCACACACAAGCCACAAAATAAAGAGAAAAAGCCCAAAATACATAAGTAGGCATATTCTAGACAGGGAATTAATTGGCCCATCTTTGAATGAAAAGTATTTCAAATACTTTATAAATATATAAACTGCCACCAGATGTCAGTACAGCCTAGAGAATTGCTAGTACAACCCCCTACTCCAGGTTGATAAGGATATTTATTTAACATTCCCCCCAACTGTCCAGGTACACAAAT